TTTTTGTAATCTTTTGGCTTCATTTGCTTTGCCGGGCACGGCAGCTCTCATTCGAATATTGATGGCATCGTGGTCCATTATCAATTTATCATTAAAATTGAATGTTCATTTATATTTTTTTAGTACACAGGTTACAACAAACGCAAAAACAATGTATATTACATTGTGTGCTTAATTTTTCTTACTATGGATTATAATATTACTCACTTGCTATAATTAGTCGGTATATTGCCAATGAACGTATCTTGATTCAAGTCAAGACTCTTCAACATTCCTTCACTTTGACCTGCGACCTCCTCATTTTCGTTAAATAGTAGAACCCCGTCTTTGTGATATCTTTTAGCGGTGACCCTGTGGAACGTCTTCATCGAGACACGTTCGGGTGAAGTGAGAATAACAGGCCCATTACCTAAATTGTATCGAAACTGGACGAAACTAGAAGAAAGGGAAACAAAAAGAAAATGAGATATTTTTTTTTCAGTCCCGATATATTTTACTGGCTGTATGCACGAAACTATAAGTAATTATTATTCGCCAAATAAACCGTGATAATACGTGTATTTATCACACGAGCCGATATTTTTGTGATGCGCCAAGGGAGTTACTTTATGCACTTTGAGTTTTTGAATTAACTTTGCAGCCCCGTTACGTTTGCAGAGCCGTAATATCGAAAATGAATGGAAAAATCATTAAATCGGGCCTACAAAGTTCCCTTCAACCTCCCCAATAATCGATCCAATAGCTAATTAATTGACATAATATCGTGGCGATATATCGCATTGCAACTCCAGCGCCCTCTTCGATCGAATACGATCTCTTAATATCTACTCTGTGCCTCCCGAGTTGGATTAAAAAAGTTGAGAAGCGGCTGGCTGTAAGTGGCAATTGTAGAAAGTACGGCATCGATATAAAGTCTCGGCTGAGCGGAAAATAGGCAGAGCTAGGGATAACGCACCCGTCGACGATGGCCAACGAAACAAAGTCACCGGTGCCATCCTGCTTCTGCTGGTTGTACACGATGATGCCATTCTCCGCGTAAGTTTTGAACTCCACCTCGATGCTCAGCTTATAATAGGCTTTCAGTCGATTCATGCGAACGTAACTCTTCCCGTCGAAGGAAGCTTCGTACACTCGCCGGTTGATCTCCTCGTCGCAGTGGAAGCCTGTGTAGTTCTCGAGGCAGTTGCACATGTAGGTGGCACCGGGCAAGTCGATGCACGTAGCGGACATGTGGCAGGGGAACGAGAGGCAGGCACGGATCTCCTCCGTCGGCGTCACCGGCGCGTAGTTTGCTGCAAGGTCGACGATATTGCTGATTAGAATGATAATTTCTTGTCTGACGCTGCTCCTTCCGCCAAGCCACTCGTCCTTAATTATTCGATAATAATTCGGCGTAGCTCGGCGTTCACGCAGTAACGCGCTAAGATGGCCGATTATACGGAAGTATTTGTCGGACGTTTGATTGGCGTTGAGGACGAAGGAAGAAAAATTGTCATTTTTCATTTTGCCAATGCGTCGATTACCAATACAATGCGATCGTGTCTCGATAAACAATCGAGATTAATATTGTTTTTGGGCTTTCGCTCATTTCAAAGTAAGATCGATGAGAATTATCGATTGTTTACGTAGCGTAGTCAGATTACGTTTAGTTTTTATTTTCATAGGATATACTTGGAGAAAGGACTTTCTCAAGCTTGTTGGAAAATTTTGAAATATTTTACTTTATGCGCGAGTGTAAGGATTATTATTTCTATACTAGTACTTTTTAGCGATTGGCATAGTCTTCAGTAGAACAAATAATATGACGAATTCATATTAATATAATAAGAATTTTTAATAAGATAGTAATTATAGAAATCTATTCAGTTATCGAGTGCAGTGAATTATTTTGCTTAATCGAATATGTTTGTCCGTGAATTTAATAGCAACTTTAATAGTTTATTAATCTATCGACGTCGTGTCTCGTTAAATGATCATATAAATTACAAACGTAGATACTTGTAATTAATTTAAGCTCAAAGAATCGCTTGAAAATTGGATGAAAATTATATTTATCTTGCCCAAGGAATGAATAATAATAATAATAATATGCACTATTAAACAATTGTATTGAATTTTCACGTTAAGCTAGCTTTGTGCTTGAAAATATCATGTACAATTCTCTAAATAAAAGAACAGAAAATAAATCAATATATATACATATATATATATATATAGAGAGAGAGAGAGAGAGAGAGAGAGAGAGAGAGTTACATCTACGTCTCATAAAAGTTGCATTGGAGATACATAAGTTTGAGTAAATAAGAATTTAATATAACAGATATTAATGACTCAATGGTAAAAATATCTACTGATACGCTTATCAAAAGTTGTAGAGGCTAGAAGAAATTTTAGTTTACAAATGCATTGTGATGGAGAAACACAAAACACAAATTCACGGTGAGAATGGCGCTACTTGAGTGGAACAAACTTTTTTGAAATAAGAAATTAAGAAATTGTACGGCTTCGTCATAATTTTCAAAAAATTTATAAGTCCAGCCTTATCAAACGCCTAAAAAAAAAAAAAAAAAAAAAAAAAAAAAAAAAAAACGTAGAAAAAGCTAGTCGATGGCAAGTAAAGATCTTACCTAAACTAGAACACTCTTGCCTGTCGCTAGTTTCAGCAAAGCCATCCGTGCAAATGCAGCGTCCGTTTATGCAAAGGCTGTTCGATATGCCGCAGTCCTTGTCGTCGTTGCAAAAGTCGCCCAGCAAGGGAGTTACGACCCTAATTGTCGCCGGCGTTGGACGATAGGCCGCCGCAGAGCCTAAATTTGTCACGATATCGTTAAGGCGCATAGTCAACTTGCGCTATTGAAAAAGCGTGTGAGGAGCGTGGGAGTGGGACCTTGTATTCTTATCATGCTGGAGTGCCTTTCCATCGCGCACAATGCAATTGTACCAACAGTATAATTAAATTGTCCAATATAATTGTTGTACTTTATAAGGGAGAGGCAGCCTCAACTCGCATGGGGCGAGGATCGAATGGTCCTTGCGAGCCCTCCTGCACTTACCATGTTTGAGATTCTTCCTGTCAACAGGAATAGTCTCTTGATGGGCTCGATTGGTGTAGTAGTAGCGGGCGTCGGGCTCCGGTACGAGCAAGTGCCTCGTTGACTTGGATAGAGGCGAAATCGCCGCTGCTGGCTGTGTGTAGTGCACAGCGGTGAATCTCTTCACTGGGAAATCCGTGTTGGTCATGGAATCGTCTGGAAGAATTGGCAGAGATTTTCTTTTATCGTTCGCTGTGCGTGAAAAGTGGACAATGAGGGGGTCGTGGGCTTGAAATTGGATTTTTTTCCCATATTGTATAAGGACCTTTTATACGAAGAGGAATTTTAAGAAATACAATAGAGTTATTCAAGAGAGCGTCAAGGAAAATTTATTGCGTTTAAATTTTACTATAAATTCGAAATTCTTGGAATTATTTTTTTCTGTGACCAGATTTTCCATCCAGTCGTTGATGAATCGAAGAAGTTGAAGAACGGCTGTGTGAAAAGGTAAATTATAATATATTCGTATCAACATAGATTTTAGCGATAGGCAGTGATTTTTAATTTCTAACCACATCAGCAGTAAGTAAATTACGATTTTATTTTTTTTTATCGTTTTGAAATATTATATTCTAAGTAGTTGTTTATTTTCACTTATTTTAAACCTCTTAATAAATTGTTTCAAAGATTTCTATGTTTTATTGTAAAATAAACAAATGAGTACAACGATTACTCTGCATAAAACAGCGATCGATTTGTTGCCAATGGAAAGGACAAATGTATCTTGTGTTTTTGTATTTGTAAGTAAATTAAATCGTTTGTGCTATTCTTGCGTCTTGAGCGTCGAAGAGCATCGATCGAGATAAAAGATAATAATGAAAATGGAGAAAGGGATGTCTAGATATATGCGAATCTATATATATATATATATATATAGAGAGAGAGAGAGAGAGAGAGAGTGGAGATGGACTAAGATAAACGCGCAATTTGAGAGCAAAAATGGTGAATTTCACCTGGTGTTCCATTAAGAATTTAGTTAGTTTACTATACATAGATGACCCTTGTTTCTATATTAATTACTCAACAGTTGTCAATCCATGTTATTCCATTTTCTATTTAAATAATTGTTATAAAAAATGCATAGGTATTTGTTTTACTCGATGCATCGTTTATTTACGAATTATGGCAATTATAAGCTTCACTAATATTCTATTCATGTGTTGTGATGAGAATATTTTTAGTATAGTCTAGGAAAAGAACTGGGTAATGCATGGTTTAATTAAAAAATAAATAAAGTATTTTTACTGTATTGAATAAACTATTAGATTTTGATTATGCTGTTATTAGATTAACAGTGTACGAAAGATTTTCGGTCTCATATTTCCAACAATAGTAACATGCCACATATATTATATAATAACATAAATATGTAGAAGAGGCTTTTATCTTCGTAAATATTTATCATGAGAGTAATTTCTATTTAATATTGTTGATTTCATGGATAATTTTTTTTCTTTTCTTATTAAGTTACTTATCTTTTCCACTCTGTAATTTTATTCTGATTTATTTAGCAACAAAACAATGTAGAAAAAATTCCGAAATTTCTGTTAATTTTCATTATGTCTTTCAAATACAAAATCATTATCTTAAAATCTATGTTTTTTAATCTTATCTATCCATTTTTCATTCACTTCTCACTAATTATATGTCATATATATGGATAAATTAAGTGTGACAATATTTGAAATATAAAATTTACAGATTTTAGTTTTACAAATTAATACTACTGAAAGTAATTACGGATAAAATAATATCCAATTACAAATTATTAAAAGTTTTAAATAAATTTATGATACGAAATAAAAAGAAAGTAAATGAAATAAATAAGAATTGAAAATTATGAATTAAATAAATAGGAAAAAGATATATGTTAAATTTATGGAAAAATTTAATCATAAATGTAGTTTTCCATTCTCGAATATCTAATTTACCTAATAATGATATCGAAATAATAACATCGTAAAATCGTAAAAACAAATAGTTAGATTGGTTTTACCGAGTTAAATGGTAGATAATTATTTAACTTATAAATTTAAATATTATTATTTATAAATAATATGTCTGATAATTAATGTTATATACTATTCTTTAGTCACTGACAAAGTTGCTATTAGTTATTAGCTTTGCGCATGTTCAAACATTTAATTGTAAATACTTTCAGCGAAATCGTGGATTAATTATTTAGTCAATTCATAAATTGAATTACAATGAAAATGCCTCATTCGTATATTTATTTCCATTCGAAATTAATACTACATTTTACAATGATTAGTGTAGTAGTAGAATTTAGTCTGTAGTGTGAATATTAATGACCTTTGGATTATAGTTTCTAAAATACTATGTAGTATATATATATATACACACACACACACACACACACACGCACACACGCACACGCGCGCGCACACACACACACGCATATATATATATGCGTGTGTGTGGTATTGTGAATGTAAAGGATATCTGATTAAATCATATACTTGAATATTCCTATACAGCCTAATTAATTAACTATTATTTAATGATAAATCGTAATTTAGATAATTAAAAATTTTCGACATATTCAATTTTACTTGTTTGATTGAAATTCAAGTGTTAATTTTGAAAAAATAATATTCGAAAGACATATATTGTAATATATATCATTGTGTAGGAAACATTTATTGGATTATAATAGTTCTGATGGGTTCATTGTAGCGTGACTGTAAAAAAGTATTTCATGTACGGTTGCATGTTTTCACAAATTGTTTTTGGTTTCTTATTGGCTTTCACAATTATGTACAACAATGTATATTAAAAAAATAGGTAATAAAATGCGAGGGAAAGTCAATTACGTCAAATTAATTTACGATTCATATTGATTATGCAATATTTTTAATAAGAATCAACTATCGGAATACATTTTATCGAGAAATTATTGCTTTATAATTGTTATAAAGTAGATATTACGTTCTTTTTAAATACCCTCGATTAATGATAATGATAATAATGATATTAAAATAAATATATTACATTATTTGAATAAATTGGAAATAATTATAATCGAGTTACTAATGGAAATCAATTCCGCTAATGAAATCATAGTAATGATAAAAATGAACAAATTTTTCTTTACGAAACATCATTATATAGAACTACGATATTTTATAAAATATAGATTAAATGTATTCCAAAGTGGAAAAAATGGAAAAAATCATCGTTAAAATATTTATTTTCTTTTAAAGAACATTAATTTTCTCACTAATGTAGTCTTCTTATAAATTTGTAAGTAATTGTAAATTTCTTGCAACATTAATATTTCAGCTTATATAATTACAGAAAATAATACAGTGTTTCTCTTTACAATGAAAGTTTTATTTCCTCATTGTCAGCGTTAATAATCTTTTTTTTTTTTCACGTAAAAACAAATATCATGAAATAAATAAAGAAAAATTTTACTTTAATAAATTAGTAAAAATAATAAATTACATTATAAATACATTGCAATATTAAGAAACAAAGAATATATTCAGATAAAAATATAAAATCATATGAAATAATATTTGTGCAATATTAGTTATTTATTATGTTGTTTGTATTTATTATTATCCGTTCGCAGTATTTATCTTTACGGATATAATAAATAATGCACACGTGGCTTATAGTATTAAATTGAAATAATCGAGACGTGTTATAACTGTTTATATTTTATAATTATTTAAATATTAAATGAAACTCTTCCTACTTATATAGATGGCATTAATGATATGAATCAAATTTTTTGATCATTACACATTATAATAATATCGTATTTACATCATCTACCTTATTTACATAATAACAAATGTATTATTTAATGTTACTATTAATGCATTTATTCTATTATAATTACACATCTTTCGCCTCACTCGTGCATTTTTGAATTTTGTATTGGCATTTTAAAGTAGTTTTTTTTTTTTTTTTTTTTAATACTTTAACATCTCTGTCTAGATATACACAGTTACAGCTAAGTTATTTTAAGTTAGCGATTAAAAGTCAAATGAAATACTTAACCGACGATATCTATTATCGCAAAAGGTACTTTAAGAATTTTGAATACTAGCCAAAGTTTAAATCACTTGTTTAATATTCGCATTAATTTTTTATGGTAAATTTTTATTATTTTATTTTATTTTATTTTTTAATTATTACAATGGACATTACATTATATCTTATAATAATGAATCGATTTCCGCCATTTGCTTTACACATAATACTTTAATTTTATTTTTATAGAATTTGTTTTGAATATAACGTAATAAAGCTAATATGAAAATAACGAGGATTCAATGATTTTTGTTCATATTGTTTTTATGTTTTTTATTTTTGTTCGCATTGTCAATATTTTAATGGGAATATCTGCTTTTGAAGTAATTATTTTAAATTCTCCTCCAGTTGTGCAGTCACCTCTAGTTGTGACTTGTCTACACTTACATACTCGAGCTTTTAGCTTCTTTTACCTTTCATTCTTCGTTTGCAAAGCAAGTGCACCCACGGAACCAAAGTACCCTGGAAACTGCCCTTTTTCGTAATCCAATTTATGCTTAACTTTCTCGCGAGACGCAGAAACGAAGAAAAAAGGAGAGAAGTCGACTGAACGAGAAAACTTCTTAAAAGATTGACTTCCATCGACTGACTCTTGCCCCTCACGAGAGCGCAAAGAAAATGTCTAATACTATGGATGGAAAAAGTGAAAAGAAATTCCGGATATAATGTATCAGAATTGAAAAATACATCACAAATAAAGATAAGAGAAGAAATAAACAGGGATGGGAGTTCTGTGCGTAATTTGTTTGAGTAGTAACATCGAGAAATTCTTGATGTCTTCGTTTTCCTTGAGAATTTTTCTTTAAGAATAAAAAGTGAAATTTTTCTCAATTCATAGGTCATTCAACGATCGACCTTTAATTACTTTTACTATCTACTAATTTTACGATTTGAGCTTTCGTAGATCAAGTGATCGTGCGAATAAAATAAGATTACAGATAAAGAGCTCATGACTCGCGAAAGAATCTAAATGAAAGGATAATGTACCTGTAGGGCACATAAAAATATCAGCTTAATGGATTCATCCTTATGTTAGTTGTAAGTGTAAAAGTGTAAAGTGAAATTCAACGGAGAAATTGTTTACAATACTTTATAATAACTAATTGTTTGTATGATAGTCTAGCAGGCATTATTCGATCGCTAAATAAAAATGTACCAACATGATTAATGGCATACGTTTTATATAAAATGAATTTGTGTAATGTAAGATTCTTAATTGAGATTATAAAAAACTGCCAATTGATCGTTTCAAATTATAATTAAAGAATTTAATATGTAATTAATTAATTTGCAATTAACTACGATTTTTAATAAAAAAAAAAAAAAAACGTTTCCTTGAATGTATGAGTAATTAAAAAGCCAATGGAAATTAAGCAATAATTGGATTTTAAGGAATAGTTAATTCATTTCCAGAAAGTTAGTCAACATAATCCGCAACAAATGTATGTACTTTATTTTTTTACATAATATACATCTCAATATTAGTTGGAAATCGACTGCGCTAGGGAGAGGACTGGAAATAAATGTGCAACTACAAGCATAACGACGATTATTAACCGAAAATTTTCCCAAATTATAACAATTTGGGATTATTTAGGATTATTCATCGAGACTAGTGAGTCGATTAGCACTGAATTACTTTATATATTTCTAACGTGCACTACATTATTTATAAATTAGAAGCAATTATGAATAAATTTATTACAGACTTGAAAGTTGCGTCATGTCAAAATTTTTACTATATTACTCTTACATAATAATACATTTTTCGCGATTATTTCCTTGGCTCTGTTTTTAGTTCTTGGTTCTTTTCATATTTTTTCCCATATATGGCATATTATATATATATATATATATATATATATATATATATATATATATAATGAAGGGGGAAAAAAAGGAAATAAGAGCACGTAAAGATGACACTAAGAAAAGCGTGCGCTTTTTTTAATAAAAGTAAAATGTCCATTACGACAACTTGGCCCCTTCTAACGCACCTATACACATGAGTTTATAGCGAGTGGCATTAAAATTCATACTGTCTCACTCATTGGACTCGCGGCAATCTGAAAAATTCCACTGGAAAGTTGCTTAATTATCAAAATCCAGGCGCAAATTCGTCTCGTTGGTATCGCTCGAACATAGCAGCGGAACACAGAGAAACCGCCTTAGGAGCCAAGTCCAAGTGCATTTGTCATCGTACTTTATAATGTCGGGAAATAAAGACTGAGATCGTCCCCACGGCGCGTTAATAAATCCTAACGAGCCAAGAGCCCGTTAGATAATGAAGAGCTGCGCAAACGCAGTGGAAACGGGTGGGTAGGAGATCTCGGATTTCCTAAGAGACGGTCCCCGTGGCTAGGAGTGCTCCAGGTCTCGGGGTAGGTGTCTCGGCGCCAAACCCACCTCGGCAGTGGCCAAATGCCTGGGGCACGACGTCCGTCTGGTAGCGGCAGGCGTAGAGCCGTAGCTCGCACTCGTTGTCGTAGGTCTGGCCGTCGCTACCGCAGACGGAGACGGCCGGGGTCTCCTCGGGGCAGCCAACGGGGCAGATGCAGCGCGGTCCCGCGACCCCGACGCTCGACTCCGTGCAGTGGCTGCCCGAGTAGCACTCGAGCTCGTTGCAGCTACTGGGTATCGGGAGTACAGCATCCGCTGTGGATCAGTCACCCATCGATTCCGTTATTTTCATTCCCCGATTGCGCTTTGGCTGGTCTTTGTCTCGCTGAGTGGGAGTGGGAGTTTATTGAATGTCGACTTATCGATTATTCTCGGTTGCCCGACGCGCTCGACGGTTGTCTTAAAGCCATTCGACACGGTTGATTTTGACGGATTCGTGCGTCTATCATGTGACGAGATACATCGATTAATCGCTATGATCTCGGTCACAATGTATTAATACTTATTGATACTCTAAGCAAGTAAATACAACAAATTATCGATGTAAGTTGCTTGTCTTGCGGTTTATGTAGTCCGTGAATGAGCGAATGAGGCCTCGATAATTTGACATTCAATGGGAATTTGGTGGATGGCGCATGGTAAGTCGGTGCGCACATTTTCATTGAATCAATTTGAAAATGTGAAGGGATCCCTTTTGCCCCAATCGTCACCACCTCTCCGCCACCGCCCAATCACCGGCCACTACCACCACCCAGCAATGGCGAGTTAATAGACGTAATGGAAGTCATTCGTAGACGAAATTTATTGATCGAAAGCAGTGGCTCGTGATTGATTGAGAAACATCGACCAATTAACGTTCCAACAATGTATAGGTACTCGCTATTATCAAACTATATTTCGCTCGTTTGCTTATATTCATTCGAATGCACTGTGCTCGGGAGAAGCCGCAGGGCAAAGCATGAAGTAGAAGCACTTTTACTCAACGTTCCTGACACATCATGACATTAGAGAATTAGAGCATCGGAGCATATGTCACTCCATTATCCGATCGATCTATTTGCGAACAATCAAGAGCAACGTGCTTGGATCAAGGCTTCCCAAAGTACATTATAATAATACTGAGCAAGGCCAGTGCCATAAACGTTGATTTCGTCAGTAGTAACAGTACCTGGCTGGCATCCTTTAGGGGTTAGAATCTTATTATGATCGGTACATATCGTGCACTTCTTTCCCTGGATTTCCGACTTGCAAACGCACAGTCCCGTCATTTGCTCGCAATCCTCGCGAGTCGAGCCAAATAGCGAGCAGCCGCAAGCTGAAAAGCCAATCGTCATTGGGTATTTTGAATAAGGTTACCTGCCCGCAAAGCGATTACATCGCCTTCGACTGTAATGGCCGTTCACTCGACATTGTCGCACCAACGGCTCAAAACGTACGGCAGGGCGTCATTTGTGATTTCCTCGTTATTTAAAGGGACGCACGAACAAATGAACAGGAGGTCCACTTTACGCTTAACTTTAACGGCTCGCGCGACACGCTATTACGTAACATCTCCATATATCGCATGATGCATGAGGCTCCTCCTCCCCACCCCCCCACCACCACACACACACGAGCGTGTGAGACGTCCCTTCGAATTAGCCCACCTTACGGAATATCTAAGCACTCGACGCTCGGCCATTCGTCGTATTCGCATAAAATATTTATAGCCGCCTCCCGACCATTGGCCCGGCCAAGTGAAACAAGCGCGGAATGCCTACTCCCCCCCCCCCCCCCCACCACCACCACACACACACGAGCGTGTGAGACGTCCCTTCGAATTAGCCCACCTTACGGAATATCTAAGCACTCGACGCTCGGCCATTCGTCGTATTCGCATAAAATATTTATAGCCGCCTCCCGACCATTGGCCCGGCCAAGTGAAACAAGCGCGGAATGCCTACTCCGCAGGAAGTAATGGAGAATCTTACGAATGCAGCCCTGGTGTCCCTTATCGATCTTGGACAAGCCCCAGTATCCAGGCATGCACCTATCGCACTTGAGTCCTCCCACTCCGGGCCGGCATTCGCACTGCCCGGTCTCGGGGCTGCAAGTGTCCGAGAGGCTGCCCAGCCGGTTGCAGTTGCAGAGATTCGGACAGCCGGCCCCCTCGGGCCCTAGGGCCGCGGTCTTCCCGTCCGGACAGCAGCCGTGCCACGAGTCCTCGCACTTCAGGATCTGCATGCCTGTGGAATTCATTGGGCGATTAGAGCGCAAGCGCCCTGAGCTTGTGGCATCGGCTCATGGAGATTGTACCTGGCCTCGGGCGGACTTTAGTCAGTCGGACTTTGGTTCGTCTTTGAACGAGACGCGTTACCCGCGCATGTCGATCCAAGTCTAGGCTAACGTTGGTTCACCATCGACCTTAACGAGCGCACGAGATTCAAATATCCATTAAACGTTCGTGTCGCTCGATCGCAATGCCGATAGTAATAATAATATTGACAGTTATCGCGATTATTCGCGAGGCCGGTCATACACCGTAGCTCCTCGTAAGAAGGAAATCTTTGCTCGTTTCTGATTACGAGGGGGCGATAAATCTCCCAGCTTGTCTCCTCAATTTCAATAATTTTCAACGACGACAGCGGCAATAAGAGAAACGACACGATAGCAACAATAATTACGACGATAGTAATAATAATAATAATAACAACAATAATACGAGTACGCGATGCGTTCGCAATCTGCTCTGAATTTATTTTGTCTTCCATTAGCGTACATAGGATTTCGTGCGATTCGTACGGCAAACGTTGAGGCGATTAAATAAACCGTCGGTAGGGCAAATTTGGCCAACTAATAAAATATCGTTGCTAATTGCTCGGCAACGAATGAAATTAGCATTGAAATTCAAGCGACGCGGGCCGCTTGAGCCCGTAGAGCCTGTGTAAAGTCTAGCCGTGACTTCGGCAAAAGTGTGCGGGCTTAGAAGGTGACGTTGGCAATGGGGGATGAGGAAGGGGCGGTGATAGTGGCGTTGGCGGAGGAGGAGGCGGGAAAGCAGTCCGGGCTCACCTTTCTTGCAGCAGCGAGCAAATCTCGGGGTTTGATGACAGTACGTGTGACTGGGGCAGTCCTTGCGACTCGGTCCGCTGCCGCAGTCGTATTCGTTGCCCTCGGAGTCAACCAGGGGCTGCTCTCCGTTACAGGGTTTCACCTCCATGCCTAATTACCAGGCGCACGTTATGAAAATATTTTGAGGTGGGCCACTTACATTTATACAGGCGCACGCCCCGAAATGCTAATGATACTTGGTCGATTATCATTTCGGGTTCGTTCCCACGCCCAATACCCTCGCCGCCGCGACCCGAGCTCCCTCTCTCACCCCACTGTCCTTTCCGCGATCCTGAGCGATGCCCTGCGAGGAGTACGATTATCCAACTCCTCTCGGATTCGTAATGCGAGAGCGCGCTAAGGATAATTTTATGCCCCGGCATACCGGCGGTACAGTAGACATGTAAGCGCGGCCGCCTTGTTACACGGGCACTTTTAAAACGAATTCTAGGCGATGTGTAAGCTTTAATGCCACCGAGTATGAATTATTAATTGTATTAGAATACGTTAACATGGAAACGAGCATTACCCGTGCCTCCCAAGCGTCTCACTTTATGCCGAAATTTTAATTCTCCTCATCCGTTGCTAATTATTACAATATTTCAATTTTTTCAACGAGTGTTAATTAATATAAATATAGTATAAATGCTAGCGAATTGGCGGGCGAAAGCTTTGTTTATTATTGGAATATTCGTTTCATGTAATGTTACGTAGGTTAGATTTAAACGTAAATTATACAATGGAGCGAGGAAATTTCAACAGATATAAATGGAATTTTTATCTATTAACGAGTTTGATAGATCTATACGAGTATTAAGACGTTTTCGTTGTTGCTGTTGTTTTATATTTTTAAGCTTTGAATTAGTTAGGTAGACGGCAGATTTTTCGACTACAGTATGTAAAACATAAGGAAAACGTGACGGTACTTTAATCGATATATATTCTATAAGTTCATCTATCTCAATATTGATGAAATTCTCGGGTAGTAAATTGTCAAGAAACAGTTCACACCCGTAATGCACAATTCAAAAATTAACATAGAAAAAAAAAATCCGTGGTTATGAATATCGCATAGAGTATTTACGAATCGAGGAAGAAAAAATCAAGATCAATTTACCATCACTTCATTATGCGATGTTTAAGAGAGGAGAGAAGATGAGGGGCACGCGTTAAACGTATAAAATTTAATGTGGAGAATGAGTATGGGACGAGAAAGGGCCATCCATATCATCGTAAGAGCTAAGGTCGGAAGTTTGTGACGACACTAAGGCCCATGGGGATATAGTGACAAGCGAACCTTGGCAGAGGTCGAGGGGCCTGAGCCTAAGCTCTTGCTGGCGTTGGCAGGCCTCCATAAGCATGTGGCATTTGCTCGAGTAGGTGCGCAGGTCGCTACCACAAACCGGTTGCATATTCTCCGGGGCGATCGAGGCACAGTCGAACTTGCAGCTGCAGCGGGGAAAGTGATCGTCACCGAGCTCGCACGTCGCATTGAAGTCGCAGTGGATGTTGCGGCAAGCCTCGAGCTCCAGGTCAGACGTCATCTCCGCCGACGTCACCAGGCGCGTTATCGACGACGTCGACATGGTAGCTGCGCGCCGGTTGGTATCGGTTAGTTATGCGTTTGGCGTTAGTGGGGTCGCGGGCTCGTAATTTTACGGCTTGTTTAGTAGTCGAGAGGTGCGACTGAGAATTTCCTGGGCCGATATTGTGGGAATCGTTAATGTGTTCCCGTATGTGTAACCGTGCAATCATCATCAGTCCTGACTGACATTGGTTTCCGATGATAGTGCTTCGTCCATTCGCTTCGACTATCGTTACGTCCGCCTTTAACCTGGTAGCACTTGGCTTTCGAAGCCCCGACAAAGGAGATTCATACTTCGTGGCACAAATAATGACACCGATCGAAGTTATTATATTCGTATTTCAGAATTGATAGTGAAACGAAACCCAAACGTCCCAGGGTCTCAGCTGCACCCCTCCACCGCCCATCCCTCCAGCCAACCAGATCGTAAATACATTGCTGTTGTCGAACTAGGAGCACGATACCGGTGCACACCGGTATAATTACAAGTGGTAAAGTGAAATGCCGTTGAGGCGATAAATTCACTCGGTAATTCATGTTTAACCGTAACAAAGCTAGAAGCTCAAAGTTGTTAGTAAAAGCGCGGAAGCTCCAAAGCTCCAGCAAAGCATAAAAGCCATAAAAGAAAGGGAAATATAAGAGATCTGCACACATATGTGTGTGTATGTATTGGTATGTATATTATTATTTGGCTATATATGTGTATGTACTAACTGAGAGCAGCGACGGGAAATCCTTGTCCGCACTCGCCGTAGTAGTTGACGTGTAGGGCGGAAAGATTGGGATCGCGCTCGCAGGCCGCCTTCTGGAGCTCGCATTCCGAGGTGTAGGTCTTGCTGTCGCTGCCGCAGACGTAGGCTCCACTGGCCTCCGGACAGCTCAAGGGGCAGACGCAGACACCGGCCTCGCATCGGGCCTCGTTGTCGCACTCGACGTTGGAGCAGAGTTCTGCGTTATCGCGAAAGGCGATTGTTCATCGTGCATTTCCATTGGTTAGCGAGCGTTTGTCGGACATGCGTCCGATAATTTTTCGGAATAACTCGAGACGAGTGGTGCGAGCGCGATTTTTAATTTATCGATAGTGAACTTGTTAATCTTGCATCTCGTTTTATAATTTATTAAGCGATTAAATTACAATGACGTTGGCGTTGAATAGTGAATTACCGTGCAGTTATTTGAATATTTATGAGTAATTAAAAGTAAAATATTAGGACATAAATTTCTACGAAAGTTCGAAAGTGTCGATTGATTCCATTTGATTGAATTAAATGTCGTAAAGTTCGGTAATGCGAATCGTCTATAGGCGTGCTTAGATAAATTAATTCTTACTCTTCGGAAATCCACCACAATACTTATTGCATATATATATATATATATATATATATATATATATATATATATATATAAAAGTGAGCACGTAAAGTAATTGCTGATTAACAAATACATATAATATTTAATTAAATATATATGTCAGAGCTGGGGCTCGGACGAAATTTCAGTCGCAATAACACGTTGGACCGTTATGTTTTTATAATGGATTTTGAGCATAAAAATTTTGTCGCGATCGTCTCCGTTGGAGACAGAACGAATTGTGCATTGAACGGGATGCGTCACTTCTATCAAAATTTTCGAGTGGTCAAAACAATGGAGCATACACTTACCGCAATCCCCTTTATAACTGACCACTACCAAAGTCTGGACACTGCAAGAAGTTTTCTTCAATTCGCATTCGCTTTCATAAGTCACCCCATCGGAGCCGCAAACTATACTTGAACTCCCGGTCTCCTGTAATCCATTAACAAAATGAATTTTGTATAAGAACGTTTACATACAGCGTATAATCCTATTATTATTATTAAAGAATTTTCTATGGCATTCGAAATTTAATTAAAGTAAAAGTTCAGTTAACGTATCAGACTACATAAAAATCATTTGATAATATCGCTTGATTTATACAGAGGAATTTAACTGCATTTGAGCTAATTGCATTTAATATTACAATTTACGTGAATTAAAACTTACTCTTACTAATTATTTTCATAAGTGAAAATATTTTTTATTGAATTAAATTTTTTCTTATAATCTATATTATATTTTGCAATTACTATTTATTTTATCATGTACATTCTAAACGCACCCGCGCGCACACACACACACACACACACATATATATTTATGGAAAGTGCGTATATTTGTTAAAGACAATTGAATAATTTCTGAAAAAAAAAAAAAAAAAAAAAAACTATCGTTTTATTAATATTCTTCCACGTAAATTAAAGTTGAAATTTTAATAGGGTAGTAGCATTTTAAAATTATAGTTAAACTATTATCAAGAAATTTTAAGGGGCAAAGATCTCTCAGACGAAAGTATGATTAACGAGCCGAGGGAAGAAAACAGTATGTTCAAGTAAATACATGAACATTTTCCCTCCGGAAGAAGTTAAACTGTTCAGAGTCAATAAATGAAACTCTACCGTATATGAATTATTAAGGCCTTGCTTAGACCAAAGTACGGAAAACTATAATTTATAATCCTATCTTATTAAATATTCTACTTAAGCGAATTTTTCGTTTTTATTAGTATAAGACAAAAGAGCTTTATTAATTTCACTCCACGTTTTTAATAAAATATATGACATACTATTGAGCATTTAGATCATAATGCCTATTTTTTTCAAGTTTCTTCGGGTTTAGAATCGTATAGAAAATGTTAAAAGTTATTAATATTATGACAATTATAAAATTATTATATAAATTGGATAAAATTAACGAGCTTGAATCTACTCATTATTTCTCGAATTCAATTGCTATTTGAAAAGTAATCTATCGCCATTTGTAAAATCATATATCATTTATTTATAACAATAATAAACTTTCATAATATGTATTTTAAAATCAAATTTTTTTTATCAAAAATCAATTTAAATCGTGGATATTTCAAGGATTTACATAGAGGATAAGCAATAATATAATTGTTCATTCGACATAAAGAATCATTGAAATTTGACCAAATGTGTTGAAAATTTAGAAAATTATTTCTAGTATTTTTTCATGATAATAATGGCGAGTTAAGAACTATTTTTATATTATATATGGACCTTTTTTGCACAATTGTATAAAAATTACGTAATTTAAAGACGATTAGATTGAGGTTCTAAAGTTCAATATAAGTAGCGAAAGTTACGTTATGGATCTTTTCTTTGCGTTACTTGTTGCATCCTATAAGAAGTGAATTTGATGAGTGAATTTAGGAAAAACTTATCTAAAATTTGTAAAGGAGAAGAAAAAAAAAAATAAATAAAATAACATAAAGTACACAAATTTTGTTTAAAATTTAATTGGTCGTTTATTATAATATTACATATTTTTCGTTTTGGAGATGTAAAGCGATATTTCCAGCGTGATTAATTCGTAAGATAAATATTTATAAAAACATTTTGTCCATTGAGTTAAATAATTATTATATATATTATATTATGAGTAAGAATATTAACATTAAATTTGTATTATTATTAAAATCTAAGGTAAATAGGTGTTTCCTACATCAAGTGGTTATTATTTTAAATAGGAAAATTATTATCCTTTTATGTACTACGTCTTATCTTCATGTATTACTAATATATTTTCGAAGACTCATGATTAAAATTATGAAGGTAATTAAACGTAAAAATTCTATTCAGTTATATAAAATAATGTATTATCCATTATATTACTATAGATAATTTTATTTAATGTTAGGATTATAATAGAGAATATCACGTTATTATTAAATAATCATAATATTAATGCAATCAACCTCTTAGATATAAATAGCTATAACTATATATATATATATATATATATATGTATTTTTTTTTCTTTAACGTACTTATTACTATTTATAGTGGAATATATTTTATATTTGTTGAATGAATTTTCCTTATCAAACTACGTGTACACATTATTTATAATTACTTATTTCCATTATTCACTATTTATTCTACTATTATGCCAAATATTTTATATTAATATTGATAAAAAAAAAAAAAAAAAAGAAGACTTTTATACTCTTATCAATTTTCTTAAACGTTCATGGTATAAAAAATTATTGGCATTGTAATTAGCGTACATCGGAATTACGTAACTCTCACTGTCAGTATGTTCTATCACTCAGAACCTAATTGGAATTTGCATCTACGGAGTGTATGAAATTATATGCACGTGTTGAGCTTATGAGAGCTGAGTTTATATTGTTCTATTAAATTAAGCTAAATTAAGTTATTAATTTGTCTCTGAGATATACTTTTGCTATTTCACGAGAGACTTAAATATCACCTCTGCTCTGAGTATATTTTTTGGTTGTATCTCTCTCGGTATTCTTTAATTGCTATACTCGTGTGAATATTAGTATGTAATCTGTTGTGAAAGTAAAATAAAAGGGATTACATTTTAACGTTTAAATTAAATTCCATTTTAACTTCATTTAATTAAATTTAATTAATTAAATTTAATAAAAGTAATTAACTGAGGTCAGAATCGGAAACTTACTGCCGCTTTTTTTATATATAAAAATTATAATTACTTCATGTGATGTTTAACATTTAATATTCATTCTATAAAATTATAAGTAATCTGTGTATTTATATACTCATTTCAAATAGAAATTAATTCATAAAATTTAATAGAAGAAAAAAAATTCATACGATTTTGATGTTTTGATTTAGATGTTTGTCGTAAAAAAATATGATCATAGATGAAAAAAAAATGATGGATAATAATTTAAAATAAAATATTTTTTTTGTGAAAATTATTTTGTCACTACGTACAGATTAATTTTTATAAATTTTATAAATTTAATGTAGAATCTGTTCAAGTTCATATACATTGAAATATTAATTTTTTTTTTATGCAAATTTGCCATAAATGATTCGCCATGAGAATTCATATATTTCAATTGATAAAAATTTTTTGCGATATAACTATTATGGCTTCTTTAAGACTGTATGAGAAATATTATTATATTTTATTTATATTATATCTGTGTTTTTAAAATTTTATTTTATTTTATTTTACTTATTAATTATATTAATGAGTATTAATAAGCTAATAAACCATAATAATTTCAAATAATAAATTTATTAACAATAATATTATATCAGTTCGAAGATTTTGTCATACCCATAATTTTTCAAATATTTTTTTCTACAATAATTTTAAATTATTTATTAGTACTTTTAATGGGGTTTCATTATTTTTAATACATAATACAAAGGTAAATAAAAAGCTTGGAGAAACATTTTCGTGTAGCGTTATGATTATAATACTTTTTAAACTATATTTTATTGATATATTCTTTGTTAAATATTTTAAACCAGCTAATTGTTATAGAATTGTTGTCAACATTTTCACTTCTTTCTCGACATGTGTAGCTAAAAATATATATAGCAGTTTCAAGGAATGCGGTAAGAGTTTTTTTTTTACAATATTTATTATATTAAATAATCGAGTTGATAATAGAAATTATTTTGTATTTTCTTTGTCATTAATACAAAAAAATGTGTTTATAATCTTGAAATATAATATAATTATCATTGAATATATTATTTGTTAAGCTTTAATATGATCAAATCAAAGATATAAAGGACGATTTACTTTTGGATTTACTATACCTTTATTATATTTTGGAATTTTAAATTGGACAAATAAATGCTTAGCATAAGCAAAGCATTTTTGTCGAAACTCTTTGAAAAACCTAAGAGTAATTATTTATTATGATTGACCTTTAATCATGATTATTAGCAATGATTGTTTTTTTATTCGAGAATTTTCTACATTTAAATATGTCTTTCTCAATTACACAGACATATTTGTGTGAGTGATTAAATAATATATTTTCTTATGATTCCAAGAGCTATTTTTATATTTTCAGTTTATTCGTATATTTTCATCATCTTTTTCTATTTTTTAATTATTATTATATTAACGTTCGAATAATATATTATTTCTATTAATATATTGTGTGCAAATATAAAAATAATCTTGAATTTATTTCCTTTAGCCTCCTAGAGAAATATAAATTAATCAAAATGCATAATTTTAAACTTATTCAAATTAATATTGTCTATTTTTATTATGATTATTATATTAATTATTCTTGAAAATTTAATAATTATGTATGAGTGTAAAATGCGTGTGTTTGCAAAATATTATAGGATATTGCTATTTTATAATTGCTATTATATAAATATGATTTTTTATAATGTACAATATTGATGGATTTTCATCAAATCGATGATTTACTTATTTCTAATTTACACTAAATATAATAGGCAATCCGTATGCCTTCATATTTATAAAATATTTTTACCTGCATTTTGAAATACAATATAATTAATAATTACAATATAATTATTATAATGATAATTTAGTTTAATAAGATATATCAATTAAACAATATGTTATGTTTATATGATATTTATTTGAAATGTGTTCAATATAACTAACTTTATATAACTATTAAATTATGATTTTTTTTTTTTGGAATTCTTGTTAAGACAGTACTCAACACTAGAAAACTTTTATTTTTAACTAGGTACGACAATAAATTGAAAAATTCTTTTATTCTTGATATAAAAATATTTTCTATTTTCTATTGATTTAATCTTATATATAAATAGAATCTTCATTTTATTATAATTTGAAATAACGTATTAATGGTTATATGAATAATTCATAGATTTGTGGAATTAGATTTAAAATTTAGAGATTTAAAATTTAAATGTTAGTAATCTTTACAAATTATTTTTAATTTCTTTTTACAATGTATTCCTCGTTTCAGTGAATTTTATTTAAAAAATGTTGTATCATTTTTATTTCATTTGCTTAAAAGCCAATATAAAGTTAATAAATGACTATGTAAATATAATAAACGAATGTAAATATAATGTAATAAATAAATGTAATAAATGGTTAAATATTTTCTTTCCATGATATACTAATTTCACTTTTATTAAAGAAAATTCAAATATATATATATATATATATATATATATATATATATAGGAAACACAAGAATCATGTTGAATATATGTATTTAATATAAATTATATTTTGTGCATAAAAACCTTTGAGTGTTACGTAATGAGTTAACTAATGAGAAAGTTGAATATTCTTGATAAATTTAGCAAGGCAGATTTTTTTTTTACTATTAATTTGCGATTTGTATTTGATAAATTTACCGAGTTCGATGAGATTACGAGACATGCTATATATATTTTTAATTTTTTTGCCATTAAAAGCTTATATTTATATTGTACATACATGTTTATTTTTTTCTTATTACTACATCTCGACTTTTAAATATAATTCTATTTGAATTTACAATGCTATTTTATTAGCTCACTTGAACATATGAATGAATTCTTCATTAATATATACGGAAGATTATGTTGAAAATAAAACTTATAATTATAATATGGGATTTGATAATAATTTTTTATAAATGTTTATGAATCAATAATTATCTGCATATAAAATTAAAATATTACGAGCATTTTATTTACCATTTTATTCTTCTCGAAAATAAACATCGACCTACTGAGTATTTATAATTGTTAATGAGGAAAGGAAATAGGATATATCGATTTCATTATTTGGTGGTCTATTTTTAAAATACATTCTTCGGGAAAATCAAATTGCAGGGTTTATAAAAATTCATTCGCCTTTTCTTTATTGCCTAGAGGTTACGTAGTTTTTAATTGAAATACTCATATTTGAATAATCGCATTGTAAATGTTTTGGTAAATATTTTTTATTTAATCGAATTACAATGAACATTACCGATTATTTATTGTCGGATGCTCGATTGTGTTTTATAAAAATGTAATTTTTTCTGTAGCTCATTGCTGAGATAAAAATATTTGTCGATTAAATTTGAAGGAGCAAGCTCGTTATGTCTTATCCAATAAAGTCGATTGGTAGGTAAGCGTTATTACAAGTTTTGCTTGAATTCTATGCGAAAAGTCTGGCAAACCCCCCCCCCCCGCCCAAATCTGTCGCCAAAGTTTTATTGCTAGTTCAACTTACCGGTTCCTCGCAGTCGCTCGGGCACACACACTTTGCCTGGCCACTGGCATCGCTTTCGCACTTGCCGTAATGATCGCACTTCGTGTTCTCGCAGCCATCTGTAAATGGAGTGGAAATAGAAGGTTTACGATTAAGTCGAGAAAATAATTCTGAGCATCGCGTCGTGCTCATTTTCTTCTTCGTGCTTCATTTTAACCCTCAGCTGATTAACTTTCATCTCTCATCCCGATACTTTAATGGTAGATTGAAGAAATATGACGCAGACACTGTTGGTGTATTATTACTCATCATAGCTGCGTATTATTCGTAGTTTCTAAATATTCTTTTCAACCGTCACCATCAATTAGTCTATTAGTTTACCCATCGATACCTTGTCCTTCCTATTTTTTTTCTTCCTTTTATTCGGGCAAGTTTACTTATTGTGCAGATAAATTCATATGGATGCGTACTGTTTTTAATCGCGTAAAAAAGATAATCGTTAAAGTAATATTAGCATCCGGACAGCATTTGAAAGCTTAACAAAAGAAGAGCGGACCAACAGTTGTTTGCCAAGCTACCATTAGTATAATTCCAATTAAAAAATAAAACATCGTTGTACAGTTATTACCAAGTACCTCGAGAGTGGTATTCCCATGATGGTGAGCGCACCACTACAAACGTAACGCCCATGCAATTCTACTTGGTTAGTTTATTTTGCTTACAATTCACAACGATGGTCCAGAGGCATCGTCTCTGGAGTCATCTCAACTTTAGCATTATAATCGACAAAGAGAAGTTCAGATCTCCGGGTGACAGATTTTAATGAGGCATTCTGTTAGTTTGTTAGTTCTTTTTATCATTTTCATAATTTGTTTTTGTCAGTAAAAAATTATTATAAAATCCTCGTTAGTAAAGCGTAAAAATGAAAAATGCCATCAAGCTCGGCAATCACTCTATTAATATTGTATATTTAAATAATTATAGGCACTTATATCGAGGTATTATAAGATCGATGATTTTAAGCTTGCTTATTATATTTACTTTAATTAAATTTTCATAATACTTGGCGATTCTATTAAGACGCTTTACTTATATAATTGGATATTATTTGAATCTTCAAGGTCGTGAAATTAAGACACGCGCGAGAGATAAATTTTTTTTGTTTCCGAATATGTATTTCTGAAAAAAATTTAGTAATTTCATTATTATTATTATTATTATTATTATTATTATTATTATTTTATTTTTTTTTTTATTAAATCGCAAGCGTATACATGGTAAGAATATCTATGAATCTAAAATATCATTTATAATCCAATCTAATATTCACTAGATCTAATCATAATATTTACTAGAAAAACGATACAAAACATCTGCGTCATTGTATAATTAATAACTCATCGTAGTTGAGTCATTCGGTTGAGTCTTCGAATGATTGAACTATAAGTGCAGCTGCGTTATAAAATTTACAGAAGCCACATGGAAAAGGATAACCATTACATCCCTAAAGCATTTATCAATGCTTAAAGGGCCCTCTCAAAAGCCCAAATCCTCCTTGTATTCTCAATGAGAATCAGTTGGCAGAAGATTAAAACGCAGTCACGAGCGGGACATTCGTACACGAAAGATTAAGCCAAATGTATTCGTTTGAGGAACGAGGCAAGGATTAAGAGTAATCTTCCCTCGATTCATTGAGATATATGAGCTTGCGAAATCGCGAATGCGAATTTGCTCGTCCTGGGAAATATGGCTTCCGGCCGTAGCGCGTGGATGACAGGACGAAGAGACTGAAAGATATGGAGATAGCATGTCCGACGTTACCCGCACAGCTCCTACATCGCCACGGAATCGGATGTCTAGGTTTCGGGAGAATACGCCAAGGAGGAGAGAATATCGGAGGCGCGATGCACATGAAGTTTGTAGCACACCGAGCTACAACCTATGAGCCGTATATCTATCTACCGTTTTCTCCCCGCGTCCTTCCTGCATAAAGTAATTGCGTAATATCGCGCATATAGCGTCTTGGCAGGATGGAAGAACAATTTAAGTCACATCCTGAGAATTCTTAATTAAAGCCCGCCTCCTGACTGATAAATTGCGTGCTTGTATGAGACTATGAGTGCTCCTGATGTTTCCTGAATTTGAGACAAATTTTTCACATTCTATTGTCCAAATAGGTTATATTCTATATCATATTACTTCATTGCCGTATTGTCTATAAAAGATAATTAATACTCCTTGTATTATATAAATACAGCATCCTATGAATTGATGCTCAGTTTGTATTATTTGATTAAATATTTGAATTGATAATCATATTATTTAAATCAGCCATTACCGCAACATCGACAGATCTAATCGATTTTATTAATAACCTTAACATTCATGTAAAATGTTTCAAGACAATCTTTGAACAGTTTTCGTACAATAAAATGTGGTCTAACATTATAATATTCACGTAATTATAAAATTATTATTGCAATTGTTAAAAAAAAAACATTAGATGGATGAAAGTATCGCACTTTACCTATTTAGTTTAATGATTTCAATATTCAATTTTCTCCTAATATTATTTCAAAATTTTTTTTCACGAGTATTTCCACGAGTAATTTAATTTTTGTAAATAATCATTATTGTAACTGATGAATTATTTGGTAGCCAATGATTTAAGTAAAATATTTAAAAAGTTATGTGATTTCTCAGAAATTATATCACGTTATTGTACAAATACTCATCACGTAATATTCACGATATTGACGTTTAATTTATTCAAACATTCTTGAAGTTTTTGGTACGTTTGTATGTAGATATATTTTGCCTTTATGTATAGGAAAAAAAAAGAAGTATAGTTATTTCATAATGTTGTAGAAATTATACATTGAAAATTCAATAAATATAGCTTTTCTTTTTAAAAATTCTTTTATAATTTTAACATTTTTTTTATCTTATCGAAAGTATAATGAGACCATCGAGTGCTTTATCTAAAGCACGTCTATATATGTTTTTACATATTTTTACAATTTTGTTCATAAAAATTGAAAATTTGTAATTATTTGGCGTGTAATAATAATTTTTATTCTTATTTATAAATTCCGATTTGATATTCGAGTTATTTTACTTTTTCCCATCGATATCATATTTATTGTATTTGTGTATCCCATCAACTTACTAAAATATTATTTTTTTTTTTTTTTTTTTTTTTTTTTTTTTTTTTTTTTTTTTTTTTTTTTTTTATGAGAGAGAGAGAGAGAGAGAGAGAGAGAGAGAGAAAGATAAAAAGGCAAGCGGCTTTACTGGAGCGAAAATTGGAGTCGGGACCTTCCGCTATCATGACCAATACTCTCTCAACTGCATAATCGATATGTCTGTTGCCACTTATTCTTTCGAAATTGTAATTATAAGTACTATTAATGCATTTAAATAAAGCGTGTGCCACTTGCACGTGTTCCAACAAGATTTTGCGAATGCATTAGAATACAAAGTGTCGATAAATTTTATCTTTACGTATATGTAAATTTGTAATTAGTATGTTACAATTAAAATACACGAAATACGCGAAATCATACATGCAATATTATATGCGACCGAAAGGGGATCATCGAGGTGTTATGCAACGGTGCGAATTGGGATATGAAACGTAGGCATATTGCACGTACTAGGAATTGTTGCGTGCTTATTGCGAAGAAAATATAGGCGTTAAAATAATAGCTCGATAATAAACTACGTCATCTCCATTGGAAGGAATTCGATGTTTAAGAATCTCGTCACGTTAGCCGAGAGCGAGAGGAGTGAGGAAGATGCTGCACCGCTGAATTGTACATCATTGTTGAATTCGTAATTCCATACTTGAATTGACTCCATGAATGTTCATTAAAGTTATGGTTTTGTCTTTTTAAATATATCTCGTGTATTTAAATATATCTTGTGTTATTTTATTTATATCGTTACTTATTAATAATCGGCACTCATCGGCAATTTTCATCTAAAGTAATTATACACGGAAGTTAAATGTTATAGAGAGACAATAAAATTATAATTGTTCAAATTGCCGTGAACTTGAATACACAATAAGGTTTAAGTTGTAAGGGATTTAAGTATTTTGAGATTCGATACCTATAATAACGTTGAACATAATAGTAATAATTTTGTTCGATATTGTCATTTTTTTTCGTTTCATCGACAATTAATAGAAATTTAGCAGAATGTAAGTTAACGAGAATAGAGTTGTTTGTACCGCTGTTTTTAATCGAAATTAATCTATGTACCCTGGTAATATCTATTCTAAACATTGTCTATATTAAATGCAGATTAATATAAATATCATAACTATCGACATAATCCGTGTAAAATCATTTGATCTATCGAGATACGCACAGTCAAATAAACAAATAAATGTTTTGGATTTTAAAAACTTTTAAAAGCACAACTTTTTTAAGACATTCATTTGCAATTCAGGATACAGGATCTTTATTTACCTTAAAAAAGATTTATATAGTCAGACATTTGTAAAACTACCGCTATCCGAAGAAAAAGCGAGTGACATCGCGTTATTCACTCCTCCTCCCCAACCCCGACGAAACTAACGATAACTTTCGCCCTGAAAGCGAGAGATGGTGGGTGGGTGGGTGGATGGTTGTGGGATTGGAGAGGAGATAGGTGTGCGATTGTGTTGGAAAGCAGCAGTCGTATCGGAGTACGAAGCACGAGGTCACTTTTAACGTAAATCCGTACATTTACACGAATGTTAATAGCGCTTTTGCAAGGGAGATGCACAAGCCGACCAATGTTAGAAATAGTTGTGGTGGGAGCTGCATTGTTTTGTATCACGATGGCTGACTAACCCGTGTCTAGACTTCACCATTGCTGGATCGTTGAAAACTGGATTTTGAATATGTGCCTGGGTGAGGGGGGGGGGGGGGGGGGGGGGGGGGGGGGGGGGGGGGGGGGGGGGGGGGGGGGGAGACGCGCTGGATGTCCGGAAGCTCCAAGTTTCTTCGGCCCGCTTAATGCTTAAATAATGATGCACTTAGTCGGGGAAACGGCTGTTTCACGGGCTCGTTTCCTACTTCGATTGTTTATTTAGGAATTTATTATTAAGCATTATGATCGATCGATTTCTCCAACCTATTCATCAACTTCCAAATGCTTTCAATGCAGGAATTTGTAAGTTGCCATTGGGGCACTTGCTTTTACCAATAAATACCCAACGAACTCTTAATTAGCGTAATACAAGCAAATAATATAAAAATAATTTGGAGTCTCGCTATGCTTTAATGAAGTATTTACACGAAGTTTTGATACTGAAAAATGTAATGGTAAGATATTTGTTGAAAGAAGGAAAAGTACTTATAACCAATAAATTATTGATTAATCGTAATTCTATTAATGACTGGATTGTAATTAGGAATATAATTTTCAGTGATTAGCAAATCTAATGGAAACGAAGAAGAAGTCTTCGATAAAACGTATTGCGTATTAAATGAATGAATTTGATTATTTTTATTTTATTAGCCTATTTATTAGCCAAAGAAAATTTTCAATTGTAGAAATAAATATCATATAATAATTAAAAGAGAATCTTCAAATATTATAGAGCTTCGTTTAAAGGGTATTCGGTGAAGTTGCGAGAATTTTAATCTAGCCACTTTATAATTATCAAGCATTTTATTTAATAATTTCGTGGGCTGAAATTTAATTTTCATTGGTATCTGAAACTTGATACTACGCGATAGCATTATGAGTGAAAATTAATAGAATATTCTATAAATAAAGCATAGTAATAAAATGATTAAATGACGCTTACACTAGCATTTGTCATTATCATTGAATTTTCTACACACAAACACAATTACACACCGTTTATATATATATATATATATATATATATATTTGTCATGAATCATAATTTGAAAATCATAATGACAAAAAAAACATAAATTCCATATCGAAAGAAACTTCGACAAATATGTTTGGTGCTCTTAATTCCATTTGCGCCCATACAAAAATATTTACAATCGGCATTGAAATATCACGACTAAGCAATTCGCCAAATAATTCGTCTTAGAAGACGAGGAGGGAAAATGTCGAATGACACCCCGAAGGTCTCCATACGTGAGCTGGGGAATCGCATCTCGTCACCGCGACAGCCGAGCCTCCGTAATTCTCCGGAAAATAACGGAATCTGACTGAGGCGGCGATTGCAATGGAAGGTCGTTCAGGCTGCTCCTACGGGCGATATAGAAGTGATTTGGTGGTGGGGGTGGGGGATTATCGGGAACCTTGCGATCATACGCTCATAAACAATATGATTGCTTGACTCACTGCATTGTTGGTGGTAGAGGACGCGTATGTCGCGTCGGTGCTGGCAGGCCTCGAGGCGCAGCTTGCACTCGTTCCCGTAGCTGATGCCGTCGTCGCCGCAAACCGGCTGGAATTCGGCGCTGCAGCTCGGGCACTCGCAGACACCCGCGTCCTCGCTCTCCGTGCACACGGCGCCCCACTGGCAGATCTGAAAGCGGTCGGTTTCGCGGGGAGTCGAGACTTCGTCTCGGGACCGCGCTCCGGAGCTAGCCAAGGGTCTAACGGGCTCGCCTCACGTTCCGCTGAGCGAGAAGATTCGACGTCGCTTGCCCTCCCACCCATACACCCGCAATAAATCGAATTAAATTTATAAAATTCTTAACGAAACATTTTATAAGCCTAATCAGGGAATACAGACTATTTTGTAGACAATAGTTTTTATCGAGTCGAACGACTTATTTTCGTCTTTTTTTGACAGCAAAATAAATCACAGCTGCCTGGCGCAAAATAATTTATACGGGGATATTTGTATTAAATTATTATATAAAATTTATTGCAAATACAATTAGAGTTTTTTCTTTCTTGCTATTTCGCTGGCATAATTCTTGACAACCTGCAGTTATACATTACGACGTTTGGTTCTTTTACTTCAGAAAATACTTAGTTGCTTTTTCTTCCGGTAATAAATTATATGCTACTGTCTACAAATTTTTAAGGAATCTTTCATAATTTTTCAAGTCTACGTGTACCGTGACAGGGTATTATGAGTTTCTAGTTCATATGCGTGGAACAGCGGTAACGGAGAAAGAGATTAAACATTTGTAAAGCGAACTGACATATAAATGCTTATGAAATTACTGTACTTATAACGAAATAAAACTATAGATTGTTTTTATTTAACAAATTTTTGCGCGAGTATTCGTATAAAAGAATTCCAAGTAAAAAGGAGAAATTCAATAAATTATATAAAATAAAGTACTATGATAATCATGACATTATGAATTAGTGTCAGTGGAATAGGATGTAAATCTTTTAATTCGCGTATTAAACGAGGTCGTTGATTTTTCACGCTGTTTGCCGATTATCGCGATGGTCGATAGAGCAAGAAAATACTGCGATCTCATTATCTTGCATTTGTCAAGTGAAATATCGTGATAACGATGAGATTAAATTATTATTAAAAGAACGAACAACTTTATGAAAAAGAATATGACAAAGGTTAAATCGCAAGATGAGCTGCGAAGGCAAAATATGAAAGGCTTAAGGAGGAATTTTCTCAATCAATCTTCATCGCATGAGAGTGTGAGATTTTCTCATTGTGGATAGAGTTTTGTATTCGGTGGCCTGTGGTATCGTCCAATTAGAGACGATTGCTTTTCACTGATTGAAGTGTATAATGGATTTAATGGAAGTTGGAGAAGATCTTATTTCTCCGTTATATTGAATGTTCTCCGAGTGCAGAATTAATATCTGTCCAAGACAAGAAATTGTAAGATAATTTTTTCGTCTTTTTTTCGTCTTTTTTTCGTCTTTTTTTTTCGTCTTTTCGTCTTTTTTTCGTCTTTTTTTCGTCTTTTTTTCGTCTTTTTTTCGTCTTTTTTTCGTCAAAATAGTCTCGCTTACTCACTTTAATTAACGCGCTTTATAATATTTAAAATGTAAACGAACAATCAATTTTTATATTTCCTGTATTTTATAAGTTTTAATTTGGTTTTACAAATACAATATATTATTTTATAAACACTCGGATCATTGTCGATATAATATTTCAATGATTCAATACTGAGATCGCTCGCTCGGTTCATTCATTGATGCTTTTATATAAAGTTTAAAAATAGTACGTTTTTGAAGACTTAATATTCTCATCGATAAGTTCGAGTTTATAAATATCTGTTGAGAATTATCATAATCGTAGATGAACTCTAATTTATAAGAATTATCAATCTCTCAAAATATATATTACCCATTTAATAATCAACTAAGTAAAAGTACAAAGCAAAAAACAAAACACATGTATGATGGAGATTATGATACTCGTTAACTAACGATGGCAATAAAAGTATTTGAAAAACAAAAACAAAACAACAACAACAAAAAATAAAATAAAATAAAAGACCATAAGAAAAGGAAATTTACTTCAATCCACAAGACTTTGGAGATAGTAGATTATCGTAGTCATTAAAGATTCGAGAGCAATGGAATTAATATACCTCCGCTACCGAGATCCTAGAAGATTTTTAGAAATCATGGAAAAGGCGTTGGTTTAAGGGGAGTAGCAACCTATCCTATGTTTTCTCATTAAACCTTCTCGCTCCCGAGCAGACCCTTGGTTATTCACTCACTCGCCAATGATCGACGCCTGCTCAATTACTGTTGGGTTTTTCAAAACTTGCACGCCCGTTCGATCGGATTACAAAAATGGCGATCGACACCTCTGCGTTAAGCGCAGTCGGTAATTTTCGTCGTTACCATCATCCTGGCCGAAGAGATGCCGCCTCGCACACTCGTAAATTCGTTAAATCAATTAACGCGCTTCCGAACGCGTTTTCCAAAGCCAGGAGAAGCCAGGCAATTGGAGCGCACGGGGTGACTCGTAAGGCTACGCGCGAACTCGCAACAATCGACCCGAGTCCATCCGAAAGCCTCCGAGGTTGCTCGAGCGGACCTCCCAACAGAGCAAGAGCTCGCGATCCCGGCATCATCGGCCGATCTAATAATGCAAACCTTCTCGGAGCAGGGGCCCTTGGAGCCGCAGGCGCCCGTGTACGCGACCTCGACGGTCGTCCTGGCGAGGCAGGCCTGCCTCTTGAGTTCGCAGAGGGAGACGTAGGTGGTACCACCCCTGGCGCAGACGGGCCTCATTACGGTCTCGCACTCGGGGCCGCACTCGCACTTGGCGATGCCGTAGCGATCGATCGCGCACTGCTCCTGGGAGCCGCACTTGGCACCGTCGCACGGATTCACCCCTGCGTATTACACAACGTGACAACAATGTTTTATCCACGGCTGACCCAATATCCACTCGCGGGCCTTAGGATCCACCTTTTTAACTCGCCAGCCGGTGGATCGCATCCACGTCCGCGGTATGGCGTGTTCGATAAGCGACGAATGATCGATGATTGACGCGCGGAGGGTAGGAGAGTTGTTGCAGCAAATTGCGAAGGGAAGGAGTGCAGCTATGTAATTACGATGATGAGCATTGAATTGTGCAATGGCGAGCGCGAGGCCATGTACGATTTTGGCTTCGCGAATGCTCATTTGGCGCCGTGAATATTGGCGGTCGAAAATCCCCGGTGACTAGAGCACATCGCAATGGAACATTTTATTTTAGCCGGATTTTATGAGACTCGGCAAGCATTAGATTTTCAATTATTTTCAATCTTTGAATTCTATAAATAAAGTTTCGAGTGGAAAGCTGATATCTTCCGATAATAAAAGCCGGGGCATTTGTGGAATTCAACGTGTGCCGTTATCGATTCAAATACAACATCGAGTTACATCGCGTAATATAACGGATATATGAATAGCGTATAACAAACAATACTACGAAAAGTAATTTAGCTGTCTTTTTTATTCTTTTTTTTTTTTGCGTTAGTTAGTATTTAAAAATGTATTTGCGTATTACAAAAAAAAAAAAAAAAAAAAAAAGAAGAAGAAGCAAAAGAATGTAATAGAGAGAAAAAGTGTGCATCAGAAGCTTCTGATAACGAATACAAATTTTATACAATATTAGCCGTATCTTTGTTCGTTAGAATCATCCGATTGTTAAAATGTTTTGTCATTTTATCAATATGAAAGTTAACCGATCGAAAGTTAATCGCCAATACTAACTCGTTAAAAATTATTCGACATACCAGGGACAATGAAAAAGAGAATAATAAAACTTTATCCTCGTTATCAAAAGCCATCGTTCTACGCTTGCGTCCAAGAAGTATATTATCGAAATTCAATAGCCCAGCAGGAAATCGCATGTGCGCGCAGATAAAAAGCAAACAGGAGAAAGTCGGGAGCTTTTGAGCATCCGCGGCCGAGTTAAATTACAGTGAATGGAAACTCACCGGAATTACATTCGCCGTTGTAAATTTTCCGGAGCTGAAGCCGAGATTTGCAGGCCTCCTGGCGCAAGATGCACTCGTTGGAATATGTTTTACCATCGCTGCCACAGACAGGTGAAAATTCAAGGCCGCATTGTTCGCTGCAGCGACAGGACGGCTGTCTCGAGGCGTCCAACTGACAGACTTCCGGTTCCGTGCACGTCACCCCCGCGCAAGGATCTGCAACATATACACGTATGCGCATAGATAATAAATATCTGTATTATTCAAAGGCTGTTATCCGACGCTCCGATATAATGTCGTAATTTTGTTTTTTTTTATTCCTTGTTTTTTGTTGTTGTAAATTATCCAAATATTGGTAAACAAGGATTATTTAAATTTAATTGACGATGTGTTGTGATTTTAGTGGCTGCTACGACTCATTAAAGAGGGTCAAACGTGCGCTTCACTATTCTATTCTATTAAAACAGATTTCAAATTCATGTATTTCGTTCTCTCTCTCTCTCTCTCTCTCTTCTCCTCCCCCTCCTCCCCCTCCTCCCCCACCCCCCCTCTCTCTATTAAACGGGGTTTAAAAGTAAAATTAAATGAGCGCGTCGCTATCTCAATTTGTATTCTTCGCATTTCAATAAAATTTTCATTCCATCTTCAAAATGAATTTTAGCTTTCAATCTTATCATATTTCTCATTACCTACCGAAACAATGTGTAAATTCATCTTGTCTTGTAAGAAAATGTCATTTCTTTTATCGGCAGATTTTCAGATGCAAATATAAATAAATGATGAGCGGCAAAACATCGATATGCAAGACTTACTCTACCAGACAATAGAATAAAATTTTCATAAAAATTCTTCTACATAAAATCAATATTTCCTATAATAATTGAGAATTAGATATAATGATTGAATATATTTTCGATTATTGACAGGATATTGATTGTTTCATTAAAACTAATAGAGGAGTGAAATTATTTGATCGTAACTGTTGACGAGCGAATGTCACATAAGCTATTTATAGAAATCAAAGTGAATAAAATGTGCTTTTCTTCAAGTATTACACAAACCATCGTATGGTATTATATCGTATAATTGTATATTATTGGTTGTAATAGCGAATTAATCGTTGTAAAAATATTAATATACGACGCCTCGCTGAATGCTGCTCTTTATGAAAATAGAAATCTAAATCTCGTTATGATTGATAAATCTACAACGAGATATATGGTAAGAAATGATTTTAACGCATCAATGTCGTCTTCAAGGATCGCATTATTCATTTTCATCGCGCTGAATCCTTTCTAGTGCAATTATCTTTCTTGGCATTATATTCTGTTCTTACAATGGCAAGATTACCTAGAAGTTACAGGGATAGCGGAGCTTACACGCGACAGTGATTAATAACGGCGCTTTAATGCACCAGACAAACCTTTGTACAACCATAACCAATATCCACAACCTCCGATATACTGGCATACTCATATAAAATATTGTTGGAGAAACGTTTCTCGTTATTCTCAGGATTTTCTCTAATTATATGGTTTTTATGATGAGCGTGTTATTGCAATTTAAGAAAACCGCTACATGGTGATAAATTGGATGGTCGCACCCGTCTTTCAGTGCTACAATAGACAAACTTCTTTTACACTAACCTATTTCGATCAAATATATTATTTGATATGTTTTATGTTTTGTGTTATCAATAAGAAAATAAAAGAAAAAAAAGAAAACAACAAAAGAACAAAAAAACAAGAATGTCAAATTATCAATCAACGTTATATCTATTTAATATCTCACATGATTAGAATCTCAATAGAATATGAGTTAAATAAACTTTCACGAAATAAATGCATATACGACGCCTACAATTTCGTAATTATTAATTACTTATTATTTATAGAATGGCACTTAATAGTGATTTAAAAACTCTTTTTACAATTTAGATGACAAAGCATGATATTTATAATGAAAAAGAATTTTTCTCTATTGTACGTCATGTGGAATATTGCTGTAGGGGTGGGCAAGGACGTCAGTTATGTTTTATTTATAGATAATATTTCGGGGCTCGGGGAATAATATTTTTATAAAGTTATAAAATATAAGAATTTTCTTAAAATACGAAAATTTTTCGCCTGTATGTTCTTTCAAATACGCTTTTGTTTTAGCATTTTAGCAGAAAAGTAAAGTATTTTTTATCTTTATTGCTGCATTATTGTCTAGAAAATAAAAAAGAAAATTTGCACCTACTTATAGTAATTTTTAATATTATTTATTATTACAGATCCTAGATTTTATAAACTATGCGTAGAAATATTGATCTCTACAAGTTTTTAACATTATAAAGTTTGACGCCATGATCTTACAGTACAATCGTATCATTACTTTAAGCGAGATTAATTAGCTCCGAGTGCTTATTAATCGTCGGGTATGTTGCTAATTTCACATCTTAATCGCCGAATAATCTTCTAACATTCTCATTATAAACAATAAATGTTAATCGTTGAAAGTTTTAGCCTTATAGTTGGCTTATAACAGTTTAGATAGTTTCGGTAATTACTTGGTCTTTAAACGAAAACATTCAATGATTAAAGCAGCAGTGGCATATTATCGAGAGATTTTTTCCAATTAGATTCTAGAGTAACAACAACAACAACAACAACAACAACAACAACAATAGAAATAGATCGCAGTTAAAGGCCGTAGTTGTAAAATTGTCGGAGGCTCGTGAAATGCCGTTCAGCGTTTGTTCATCTGATTGACAACTCACCCCTGAATCTAAGAAATTATTCCAAGGACGAAGGTACACGTAAAAAAAAAGGAGGCGCAAGACCATCGTTCGGGTATAAAATCGACGGCCCTTTGCTCGAGAAAGATGGCGATTCGCGCTTATGCCTGGGGTGCCGTTGGGGCAATATTAGGGAAAGTTATATCGGACGTGCGCCAAAGGGAGCGCGCGTGCAGGATAACGGAATCCAGTAGGGGTGGGCGCGGCGTCCGTCGAGATTAATCTTTGCCGAGGCGCGCACGGAAGGAAGTTCGGATTCCGTTTCCCGTGTCCGTGATCCAGGGGTCACGCTCGGCGAGCCTCGGTTTCCCCCCCCCCCCGCCACCGCCCCCGCCCCCGCCCCCGCCACCGCCACCCGCCCCAAGGATTTAAGTTACAGTCCACTGGAGCGGCTAAACTCCTTGGCTCGGACCCCCGTCTGCCTCGGCTAATGGAATTTCGCGTATTCTCAGCTCCGACTCATCCGGGCTTTCACGCTTGTTCGAGCTCCGCCGGCTTTCTTTTAGCGTTTGCCGCCCTTCTCTTGGTCAAGGACGTGGCAGGCGTTAATTTCATCGGTGACTCTGTCAATGCAAATTGCGGGATCGATGATATTCCAGGGTGCCCGGTATAGTGTATTATGTGCTTTGGGAAAATACTTGATGAGGTAGTCCCGGTTATTGATTCTATAATTTTTGTTTTTCTTCGGCTTTCAAAGCACAAAAGCTTCTCGAAACTCGATCGCACTCGTTTTAAATGTTAGACATTGATGGCGCTTATTTTTCAACAATATATCAATTTATGAATCGTAAAGAAATGCTCATTCCCCTGACTTTATGACTAAACGGTTATTTTAATAAAAACTTTCCTACTTTTTCATTTCATTATTTTTTCTAATAATCATAATAATAACCGTTTATATAGAGTACGAAAATACTTTAATAAAACTTTGTTTTCTAAACCTATATCCCAAAGTCATGATAATTACGAATTTATAAATTACTATTGTCCGTGGTATTCTTTAAAAAATTTCACTACACCGTGCTGCGTGTAACTTACTACCTATCGATTGTTTTTAAAGGCTAAACAGTGTATATGATAATTCTATATTTTTCATAAAGCGTGCCCTTCATAATGGAAAACCATAAAGTTAAGGATTTAATTTTCTAGTTCTTTTGCGGATAGAAAATTTTAGAGATGAGAAAGATTTTTATACATGAATAATGATCTCACAAGTATCATATATATATATATATATACACAATAGGAAGTAATTCAATGTCAAAGTAGTATTAAGAAATAAAGCGAGTGAAGAATAATAACGAGCGTTTATCGTACATTAAGTCTTATACTTTAGTTTAAATAAAAATGCATCTTTATTGTTTCACATAGAGAATAGTATAGACCATAATAATTTATGTATTTCCATTAAATAGAATTATTTCTTCTTTTTCATCTAAAATCTAAAATTAGATTCAAACACTTCACACGACGACTTGAGAAACTATCAGTCTTTTTCTTAACAATTTAGTCCGCTAAATAACCAATTCTGATGCTTTAATCGACTAACTGCGACAAAATCATGAAAAGAGTATCGTTAGACTTATAGTGCAGAAGGTCGATAATAAAATGCGATGAATTATTTTATATACATACGTGAGCGTATAAATATCGAATGAATAGTAAGTTGGAGGGAGATGATGGAAATCAACCTATGAAAATTCTCTTTCACCCTATGTTTCCTTCTTTACTAACATAATAGTAAAGAAGGAATATTCAGACACTTTGAAAAAATATAAAAATAAAATTTGTTCCTCTCTTCTGTGAGATACGGATACGCGAACGCAGACAAACACCCACGTCCACCTACCCATCCACTCTCTCAACAACTCGCCCATCTTGGCCTACGCGTTCTTACCCACACAAGCGCCCACCCGTGCAAAAATACACAAAATGCATATACATACGTAAAGAGCATACGTGCAATAAGTTCCTGTCTTTTCAACATTCAATTTTTCCGGCAAAGTGCAAGTCGGTATGGTATGATGGAGCGTATAGCTTACAGAGAATGAGATTTGAAACGTCTTTTTCTGCATCTTTTTATCCTCGGGCGATGTAATACTACTAGCGCATGAGCACCGAAGCTTACACAAAGCTTTCTCATAAAAGTGCGTTTAAAATTCTTTGGGCGAGTGCGAAAGAGCGACATCGCGCAGAAAGGCGATTGCCTTTTTCCCTTCCTTTTTCTCACTCTATCATAAATCCATTCGGCTGCGATTCTATAACATCCTTCTTTAACCACTTCGACTCTTGATTTCTTCTCTTTTACAGTCGATTCTTTCTGCGTTTTCTCATCCCTTTCGTTTACGATAACTATCATCATATAATCATTTCTTTTACTAATATTTTATACATAGGGTGTGCGTGCATATTATACATTCATGTTGTTTTTTTTTTT